AAACATCAGACAGCCGCGCAATCACCGCTTTTACAGTACCGGGCAGAGGACTAAAACAATTTAAGGTAATGCCATTTGGACTACACGCCGCACCAGCAACCTTTCAAAGGTTATTGGACTCAATTATAGGACCAGAACTAGAAACCAATGTACAAGTATATCTGGACAATATAATTATCGCTACCAGAACCTTCGAGTAACATTTGACAGTACCAAGGAAGGTATTCGAACAACTAAGAAAGGCGAATCTCCGTCTAAATATAGAAAAATGCCATTTTTGTCGACCCAGTCTAAAATACTTGGAACACATAGTCGACAAGCAAGGCATAAGAATAGACCCTGAAAAAACGAACGTAGTAGCCAAATGGCCAACGCCGACAACCGTCCGCCAAATACGCCAATTCCTTGGCATGGCATCATGGTACCGACGCTTCATTGCAGGATTTTCAAAAATAGCGGTACCACTAACAAATCTGACACGAAAACAAGAAAAATGGAAATGGGGAGACGAAGAAGAGAAAGCGTTTCAAACACTAAAGCAAACATTAATTACCGTACCAATATTAGCCTTCCCGGACTTTAACTAAGAATTTACCCTACAAACAGACGCCAGCACGCACGGACTAGGAGCGGTACTCACGCAGGTACTCGAGGGAGGAGAGCGCGTGATAGCATACGCAAGTCGGACGCTCAATAACGCCGAAAAAAATTAAAGCGCAACGGAACTAGAGTGCCTGGCAGTAGTATGGGGAATCAGGAAAATGCGTTGTTATATAGAAGGATACAAGTTCACCGTACTAACCGACCACCAATCACTACGATGGCTAGAAAAACTAGAATCACCATCAGGACGATTAGGCAGGTGGAAGTTCGAATTACAACAATATACATTCGACATACGCTACCGAAAAGGAAGCATGAATAGAGTAGCCGACGCACTATCCCGACAACCGGTAATCGCCGCATTACAAGCAAACACGGAGTGCCAATGGTACAAACAAAAGAAAAAACAAGTTGCAGAGCAACCTTAGCTATTACCAGACGGGAGCGGTGCACTTGGACACGGTGCATTTGGACACAGCCAGTCACAGCACCGTGTGATTAGAGACATTTGTAGGGTCCCTTGGAACAGCGACTTGTGATTGGACTGTGTCCAATTGCCCCGTGTCCAACTGATATACACCCTTACCAGACTACTAGATAAGGGACGGCAACTTGTACAGACATATCTTCCACAGTCTCGACTTCAAAGAAATATCAAGCCAGGATCAATGGAAACGATGCATACCTCGCGAGCAACATCCGGAGATACTACGGACATATCACGACGACCCATCAGCGAGCCACCTCGGGATCGCGAAAACTATATGCCGAGTAGCTCGGCTATATTATTGACCAGGGATGTTTAGCGACATCAGCCAATATGTAAAAAAATGCAAAAATTGCATGGCCCACAAGGCATCACAAATGCAACCAGCAGGAAAGCTGCACGCCACGGTAGTACAAAGATCATGGGAACAGGTCTCGCTAGACCTGATAGAACCGCTACCAAGGTCCAAAATGGGATACACGTGGATCCTCACGATGCAGGACCGATTCTCGAAATGAATCGAGATAAAGTCTCTACGCCAAGCAACAGCTAGCGCAGTGGCACAAGATTTTCTAGAAGAAATCGCCTACCGACACGGATGCCCGGATGTTATAATATCGGACAATGGAATGCAATTCAAATCGGGAAACATGAAGAAAATAACCAAGGAACTAGGAATACAACACCGGTGGACACCGGTATGGACTCCCCAATGCAACCCCGTAGAAAGAGCAAATCGTACGATAAAAACAATGATCTCCCAATACGTAGAAAAAGACCATAGAAGCTGGGATGAAAATTTAAGCCAAATAAAGTTTGCTTTTAATACAGCACAAAACGAAGGCATAGGATATACGCCGGCGTTCTTGAACAACAGTAGAGAGCTCGCGGGACCATGCGAATTAGAACGCAAACAAAGACCAGGTACGACATCAACAAAGCTCCACGAACAATTGAAGGACGCGTATGAACTAGTAAAAATTCATATGGCACGTGCGTTCCAAAAACAAGAGAAATTCTACAACTTAAGGAAAAGGGCCTGGAAACCGCATATCCGAGATGTCGTATGGAAACGGGCGCATACACTGTCCTACAAAGAGAAAGCTATTAATTCGAAATTAACACCGAAATATATGGAATCGCTAACGGTAAAACGAATCATCTCACCAG